TGGGGTATCGTGCGAATAATTTGACGGGAGTACACTATAGGGCGAGGGGGTTAGACACGTGTGACGCGTAGGGTTTGGGGACGGGCGGGCGCACCTGTCTCAATGGTCGCATCTATCACACTTCTCGTCGTGCTTGACGGTCTTGGTGTTGCAGACGCCGCAAGGAGCTGTTCTTGACGTCGCGCATGGCGCCTTCTCAGCAATCTCGTGGCCGCAGCCATATTTGTGTACGACCTTGGTGCACATGTTGGCGGGGGTCGGCGAATGGGGCAGGCGCGGTCGTACGGCGGGGGTAGCGCCTTCTGCAGCGGCGTGGGAGACGAGGAAGGCGGGGTGGCAGCTTGGAGGCGCTGATTGGCTGGCGGGCGGGAGCTCTTTCTTCTTGCAGGTGAGGGCGAGACTGCCGTGCGGAGCGCAGCTCAACGGGCTCGCGGGGAAGCAGAGGAGAAGACGGAGTTGAAGCAGGAAGAAGAAAGGCAGGCAGGCCAAAAAACAAGCGTGACGCGGAGAAGATAGGCGGCCGGCGGAGGTATCAAAGCTTGTTGGCGGGCGTGGGATGGTGCTGGACTGGTCGGGGAGGAGAGCAGAAGAGCAGCAGCAGGGTAGGTCTACTTGGTCGAGCGTGTGAGGAACTGGTCGGAGCGTCCAGAGGGGATGCAGCGGGCAGCGTGGAGAGTTTTATAACTTCGACATGGCAGCGAGCCAGTCTGACGGTACGCTCCAAAGCTCTTAGATTACCTTCGCTCCCGTTTGCAACAAGACGCGACAGTCTTGTACAGCCGTTGGCTCCGTGCGGAAAGGCAAGCACATACATACGCGGAGCTACTAGCCTTGACGCCTAGCTGCAGCCAGCAAGCCAGCATCGCATCAGCCAGGGTGATCCCGCCTCCTTGTCGAGCGCCAGTGCTGTGACCAACACGCCGTGAATGGCCCAATCGCCGTGCCTGGACACCCGACGACCGTTGCTCTCCTCCTTCACCTGCCCAGGGTCTGCACACTTGCGGAGTCAACCCGGCACTTTGCCAGGAAACACCCGCTGCGCCAGCTCCGATGCTCGTCCATTTCCATTCATCTGCGCCTGAGGACCTTGGATACAACGCAAACAGGACATGCAACGCCAGCACTCTCGCGGCGGCAGCAGATTCCCATGGGTGGTCGGATGAGGGCCCCGTGCATCAGACCATACAGGGCTGACTCTCTCGTCTGCATCTTACTCGTACGGTACAACATGTGCTGTTGATGGACGTTGACCTCCACTACTGCAACAGTCCGTCTGCTACAAGGCTAGTGACAACATTATGCCACACGGATAGCCGCATGCTCGCCTGTGACGCCAATGGTGGATATCGCCAACTGACCTCAGTCGCGTTGTCGGCGGCCAGCGCCCGAGTCTGTTTGCGCGTCCTGACTCAGGCCTCGACTCAAGCAGAAGTGGTCGTCGACCAAATAAACGCACCCTGGTTCCTGTCGCGACCGCACATCGCTGGCACATGGCACCCTTGCGAATGCAATTCGACATGATGAAAACACGCCCGGGGCTCTACAGTCCTCGTCATGCGCTGTCGATTCCAGCGCGACGGACACCACGGGTGGAACATTGGAGGCAATAATAAGGGCCGTCCTTGCATAACGTCAACGCAACTCAACGACAGCTACCTTAGGGCGAGGTCAAGTGAAGCGTCTGCTGTCGAGTCTAGTTGTTCGGTGGGCCAAATTTGGACGCAAGCTTTAGCGTAGTGATTGCGACCTACGCCCATGATTCGAGACGAGATGGAAACATCCTCACCTCAGTCGCCTACCCAATTTAGAACCCTGGCACCAAACGAACTGCGGATTGCAAACATCTAGCCGACAGCACGCCCGTCAAATGAGCCACCACGTCAGCGCCGGTATGAAGGCGATCGTGGATGAGCCGGCTTGCGCAGCTGGCCCGTCGCTCACCAGACGTGATGACTGCCCGTCTCCACATCCCGACAACAGTACGAGCAGTCACCTGGAGCGCAGAGCCATCCTACACGAATGGACACGTCCCCTTACGGACCGCGATCGCGATACAGGCGCTACTCGTCGCATGCTGTGTACCTAGCCTGTCAAAAAAATGTGTTGCACAAGCAGTCTCCAACGGGCGACAGGGGTAGTTTTGCGCGCTTCACCCGACGCGGACTAGCGTCACGGCCCGCTCTTACCTGATCGACTTGTGCGACCTGGAGCTCCACAAGTGCAGATGCGCCGTCGGTGATCAAAAAGCAACGCGGACTGTTTCGTTTTGCGAGACGCAGGAATCAAGTCCGCGCGACTGCAGAGCTGGCGCGCAGAAGCAACCTACGTCTTTCTACCTGCAACAATCCTGTAAAGTCTGTTGCCCTCGCCTGGGGGCTATCGCCCACTTGGGCCAGGGTTGTGTTTCGGCAGATCCATCCACGTTTGAGGCACGGAGGCTCGCGGCTGTAAGATTAAGATGTGACTCGTTTTCCCCTTTGTGTGTGGCTTGTCCCACGTCTCCACGCATCACAGCAGCCTCATGTCACCTGCTCCGGCTGTTGCTCGGCAGTCGACCACACTCGAGAGCTGATCAACGATCAGCATCGTCCGCAGATCAGTGCAGTACAAGGTGGAGATTACGAGAAGAGCCACACCAGTGCCCATGCGAGTGCCGGCCGATTCACGCACAATTCTCAAAGGATCACTTGCGACTCAGCGCCGTTCAGGTCAGCCTGGCGGTAATCTCCAGGATGCGCATCTCGGTTGCGCTTACCACACGCGAAGGCACTAGCTCAGGCCACGCTATGCCACGCTGCGCTTGTGACAGCGGCCCTATCCTTACATTCTTCCGCTGACCACAAAACCGTTGGCAGCTCCTCTCGCTAGCATTCCCATCAGGATAGCAATTGCTAAGAGGCACAGCACGCCCCACTCCACCTGTACATATATCAAGGCCGCCGCGATGACTAGCACGGAAGCCATGCGTCAACCTCGGCGTACGCCTGATCAGCGACTATGAGAACCGGGGCTGCCCCGCCTCATGACGGACAGGGTGTCTCGTCTACTCTCGGCACTGTTGCGACTTCCTGGTCCTCATCGACGACATTATAACCTTGGAAGCAATCTTGCATGTTGTTGAGACTTCCCTTGTCAGCTCATCTACAGTACGGCCTGCATCAGAGACGGGAAGCTCGCTGGCATAAGGTGAGAGAGAATATAGTTGCACATGCAGCTAGGATGCAGCTCCACAGGAGATGCATCCATGGACAGCGGTAGTTACCGGAATCCAGCTCCAGAGCCCATCGCAGCCTCACGATGCCGTACAAGCTCCGCATAAATGTTGCTCATCTATATCCGTACTCGAAAGCATTGGACACTGAAACCGATAAAGCTTGTGGGGTTAGCAGCAGATCATCAATACTTAGGAAAGCGGCCAAACGGGCGTTTTGCGCACCCTTTCAGGCAACGACAACATGAACGACATAAGGGTTATATTGAGAGTGCCTGCCTTAGCACAAGCCAACGGTTAGTTCACTGATATGATAAGATAAATTTGGATGCTCGCATTCATATCTCTCCTCTAAGCGAAAGCGAGGCTTAGGCTACTGACGTACCGGTTCCATTGCCAAAATGCCGACGAGAGAGTTTTTTCGCCGTTTGACAACTGTGACTTCCGGAAGCCGCGGAGGCATTTGGTATAGATGCAAGGTACAATTGACACGCACAATGCCTGTCGATCATCAGGCAAAGCGACCGAGCAGGCAATGCTAACCACTGCGAAACGTACTCTTGGTTCATTGGCGGAAGGCTTGTCCGGAACTTCACGGCTCATGGCGGATGCAGGACACGGCTCGACCATTTGCTGCTACTAATTTGCGAAACACCATCGGCGAATAACACAGATCAGCGTCAACACATCGTGACTTTGGAGATAAGCCAGTCGCATATACACGCTGTGCAAAAGAGGCTAGCAGAAGATTTTGTGAAGCGCGCTATCGACGCTTCGCAATCCAGTGGCCTACTGTGCGAAAAAGTAACCCCGGCATTAGCGTAGAGCGGCCTGCTCGAGTTGCATGAAGCTGTGAAGCGAGCATTGATCCAGGAAAAGTTCCGGACGTTATGTGTGGCTGTAGACGCGTAGCCATCCGGCTTTCGCAGTTCGCCAAGATCAGGTCACGCGGCGGATGTGCGTCTCGCACGCAAGCCAACGGTCATCGTAGTGTCCGGCGTTACTGGTGAGTTGCTAGCTCTAGGAAAGTTTGTCGGGGAAGATGCGATAGGGTTTTGGAGCGAACGCGAAAGCTTATGTGCCGGTCCATGCATACCTAGGTAGCCCGACGAAGCCTGAGAACTCGTCTTCGTCGCCCTCACTATTCTGGACCTTCTTCTTGCGACACCCTCCCTTCGCGCCTGAAGCTCTCACAGCCCAGATTGTCGTGATGATCTGTCCTGGCACATGCAGCTGGTGGGGGCGGTGCGGGGCATCCACACGTGGGCCTCTTAACGGTTTTCCATCATTGACGTCACAGCAGGATATTTGCGAGCAACGGCATTTTTCACACTCGCGTACAACTCGGTCTCCATTCGCTAGAAAGAAAATGTAGTGGCGGGTTCAAGGATGCGCTTCAGGAAAGGCTATTTCTCAGCATGCGATTCTCGAATGGCAGGGACTAGCTGCCGGGTACATGGCAAAGTTGAGTCTCGCGTGGCACATCGGCATCGCTCGGCAGTCGATTGCAAACGTTCAATCACGATGATCGAACATCATCTTCTTTGCCATTGGCTGGGCTCCACAGACTCCACTTTCAAGCGCGTCGCAAACACGCAGTCGCTGTCCTGATGGAGCTGTGCGGTAGAGGGATTAGGCAACTCGAAGCCGAAGTGCAGCGAACACACGTCGCTATGACGTCGAAAAGTAAACAGTCCCGGCAGTACAAAGACAGGCGCGGCGCGCGCAACAGACAGCCACCACACCGATTGACATCGCCAATCGACTCAATCTTTGCACACTCGACAGAATGGCGTCCGAAATCATAGGCAACGTCGCAGAGAAGGCCAAGGGCCTCACCGGTGAGAAGACTGGCAAAATGGCCCAGCTCGCAGCCGTCACCAAGGATGTCCACGACGACAAGTGGCGCATCACCAGCGACTTTGGTGTCAAGCAGAACAACACCGATGACTGGCTGAAGGTGGCGACCGATGATCAAACCGGCCCCTCCCTTTTGGAGGACCACTTCGCTCGTGAGAAGGTATGCAGACCAGACCTGGCCACCAAGACCGCGTAGTAACAGTGTCAGATCCACCGCTTCGACCACGAGCGCATTCCCGAGCGTGTTGTCCACGCCCGTGGTTCCGGCGCCTTCGGAAAGTTCACTCTCTTCGAGTCAGCCGAAGACGTCACTTCAGCTGGCGTCCTTACCGACACATCGCGCGAGACCCCCGTCTTCCTACGATTCTCCACTGTACTGGGTAGCCGTGGCTCCGCAGACACCGTGCGCGATGTTCGCGGTTTCGCCGTAAAGTTCTACACAGAGGAGGGCAACTGGGACATCGTCGGCAACAACATTCCCGTCTTCTTCATCCAGGACTCCATGAAGTTCCCCGATGTTATTCACTCCGGCAAGCCAGAGCCTGACTGCGAAATCCCCCAGGCACAAACTGCACACAACAACTTCTGGGACTTCCAGTACATGCACCCAGAGGCGACGCACATGTTCATGTGGGCCATGTCCGACCGTACCATCCCACGCTCATACCGCATGATGCAGGGTTTCGGTGTCAACACCTACACACTCGTCAACGCCAAGGGCGAGAGGAGCTTTGTCAAGTTCCACTTCACACCCGAGCTCGGTGTACACAGCTTTGTGTGGGACGAGGCACTCAAGATTGCTGGTCAAGACCCTGATTTCCACCGTAAGGACTTGTGGATGGCTATCGAGAGCGGCGCCTACCCCAAGTGGAAGTTTGGTATCCAGGTTCTCCCAGAGTCTCGCGAGCACGACTTCGACTTTGACATTCTGGATGCTACCAAGGTCTGGCCTGAGGAGTTGGTGCCTATCCGATACATTGGTCAGCTCGAGCTGAACCAGAACCCCGACGAGTTCTTCACCCAGACTGAGCAGGTTGCCTTCTGCACAAGCCACATTGTCCCTGGTATCGGCTTCAGCAACGACCCTCTCCTGCAAGGGCGCAACTTCTCCTACCAGGACACTCAGCTCTCTCGTCTGGGTATCAACTGGGAAGAGTTGCCAATCAACAAGCCAGTTTGCCCTGTGATGAACTTCAACCGTGACGGTGCCATGCGCCACACCATCACCAAGGGCAAGGTCAACTACTGGCCTAACCGCTACCAGACTGTGCCACCTGCCACCGAAAAGGAGGGTGCTTACATCGACTACCCAGAGAAGACCGCCGGTATCAAGGCTCGCATGCAGAGCAGCAAGTTCAGGGAGCACAAGAACCAGGCTGAGCTCTTCTACAACTCCATGTCGGAGAACGAGAAGATGCACATGAAGGACGCTTTTGCCTTTGAGCTCGACCACTGCGACGACCCTGTTGTCTACAAGCGCCTCTGTGAGCGTCTTTGCGAGATCGATCTTGAGCTTGCTCAGACTGTTGCGGAGATGGTTGGTAGCGACGTGCCCACTCAACAAACTCGCCCCAAGCACAACAAGAAGGCCAAGGGTCTATCGCAAATGGACTTCATGCCTGAAAAGCCTACCATTGCCACCCGCATGGTCGCTATTCTCATTGCTGATGGCTACGACAAGGTCGCTTACAACGGCATCAAGGCCGCCCTGACCGCTGCCGGCGCCCTTCCCTTCACCATCTCTCCTAGGAGAAACAAGATCTTCGCCGAAGGTGAGGACAAGAGCAGCTCCGGCGTTGTAGCAGACCACCACCTTGAGGGCCAGCGCTCCACCATGTACGACAGTGTCTTTGTGCCCGGTGGCGCCAAGTCCATCGAGACCCTGCGCAAGAACGGCCGCGCTGTTCACTGGATCCGCGAAGCCTTCGGTCACTTGAAGGCGATCGGCGCTACCGGCGAAGGCGTGTCGTTCATCAAGCAGGCTGTCGACCTTCCCGGCATGGAGTTCTCGGCTGCTGCTGATGTTGTCAACAGCTACGGTGTCGTCACTGCTGGTCAGGTTCACGCCGATAGCTTCAAGGAGGCTGTCAACATGGCCAAGGAGGCCAAGGACTTCACCAGTGCGTACCTGTTCAGCATCTCGCAACACAAGAACTTTGAGCGCGAGACTGCTGGGCTTAACCAGATGGCTGCCTTCTAAGGCGTGATGGGAAGAGAATTGATGATGATACGAGGCCAAGAGATCCTTCCTTTCATGAACGTAGATAATTTTCAATGATACCACATGAACGATTTTACACGAGATTCCAAGCTACTCATGTTCGTTGTTGCTCTACCGAGATTATATTCTATTTCAAAGTGCGGGAGCAAGCCCCTGTCACATGTGGGGAAGATAGCGTCCACCAACACCGACTCTACTAGCAATCGTATGTATCACTGTCTACAACATGCTTCGAATTCTTGGTTTGCTCACATTGGCCTAGACAAAGGACAGTTTTCGATGCGGGGATGGTTCAGCTTCGAGGTTGGTTGCGCAGCGACTGACTAGTCATGGCGTTCCGCTGGAGCAGAAGCTATGCAAGTCAAGCGAGATGGGTATGAGATTCCAATGAATAGCACATCGTCAAGACTGAAGAGGTCAGCTAAACCTCAATATGGGGGTGGAGTTCCAGTTCGCTTTCTCCGTATCTTCTGCAGCTCAGCCACATGCCCCACTTTCGGCTAACCCCATCTGGATGCGCAGCGAGAAAAGGGCGTTACAGCAAATTAGCGCTTACGAATGTGCGCCTGCCGTTTCTTTTCGACCCCGACACTGAACTTCACGACGACTTGAAGATTGCCTCGATTCCACACTCCCCAGGGCACACTGATCTTGAAGAAAGCCGATGCTACTGAATCGAATTTGGAGGTTTTCCAAATCTCACAGATTTCCCAGCGCCACAATCGTGTCTCGAACGACCGTCTTGGCGAGGTCGTAAAGTTACCGCGAATCCCCACTAATCGTCTCACCGGTTGCCTAAACCTTGGATCTCCATCGCCCTTTCCCAGAGCTGAAGGGCTGCGTGGATGACTCCGAACGAGACTGCAACACTCGTGGGCGCAGCGCCCTTTGATCTAAAATACCGAGCGACAAGCCTCAGGCTCCTGAACACTCACTTTCCATCATTCTCGCTCACGCTCTTTCTTTGAGCCCGTGATTGCTAACCGTCTACTACGACGAAATTGAACGCCCTCTGACAAATACACCACACATAGTCATGGACCATCAGGGCGCAGGTTTCGCCTTTGACACCAACATGGATTTCAGCAACATGTTTGCGACGCCGCAGCAGCAGCAGTCGTACACGCCAGCGGATAACACTTCTGGCTTCTTCTTCGCTGACGAGGGTATCGATACTTCCGCATCATCATCTTTCATTGATCCGGCTGTATTCGAAACCAACCCTCAGCAGTGCACAATGCAACAAAGTCTGGTAAGCTTATTGTTACTTTCACCATATCGCATACTTGCTAACCATGTGGCAGACCTTGGATGACACCTCGGCGACCCCAGCATGGATGGCACAGCTCACACCTGATATGCAGCTCCAACATACCGCGAAGGCATACCCGCCAACACCACTTCACTCATTTGATGCCATGTCTACGCAGTTTAATGCGCTTGGCAAGCGGCCGCTGCAGCTTGAGACGCAGGACTACCCTCAGTCTAAGCGTCACGCAAGCTTTGATTACCCATTATTCCCAACACCTCCTGCAACAACGACATCCAGCTGGGGTCTGGAGCCGACTCCTCCCGTGGCCGTAGAAGGTCTTCCGGATGAAGCAGCCGATGTCTGCGCAACGTGGTTCCATAAATACAATGTGCTGCCCAGGTAAGCTTATGACCCTCCGACCAAGACTGTTCAGCCAGGCGGATATCACAACCAGAAGGAAGTCTGTCAATGCGTTTATGGGGTCCGCGGAGCTGTGCTTCGTGGACCTCCCCGAATCATGCAAACTCTCATGTACCCCACTGGCCGGCGACTTCCTCTTAGCTTCGATATCATGTAGCGCATACGTGTTTGTAAGATCAGAGTAATGTTCATCAGTGCTAACAGTTCAAAAGCGATAGACACATCGACTCATTAAGCCAGCTCACCGGTGAGCCTGCAGATGCCATCCGAAGCTGGTTCGGTCAGCTCTTGAAGCAGGGCATGGGTGGCAACCAGAGCGACTCGGCCTACAAGTCCCAAACGGCACTCATCCATCAAGACCGGCAACAGAAGCAGTCAGAACTCTTTTGGGATGATCAGACGTACCAAACAGAACTTCCAGGGGCATACACTGCTTATGGGAACAGTATACAACAAGCACTCGGGGAGACGGTTACCCCCAGCTCGTCACCAAATTGTGACAACACTAACGTCACCGTACAGCCAGTCACCACACGGAGTAAGAAACGGTGCACACCTACCGAAGACCTGGAGTTGCTTGGTAGGGATCCAAGAAAAATATACCAGTGCACGCGGAAATGCGGTAAGCGGTATGGCCGTAAGAATGACTGGAAGCGGAATGAGGAAGAAGGCTACCCATGCAAATCATGGGTCTGCAGCCTGTGTACAGTCGAGGGTGTCGAGAACGTTCGACCATGCTTCCGAAAGTACCACTTTGTCCAGCATTTCCGCAACATCCACCCTGAGATGAACGCGGAGGACTTCGACGAGGCCAGCACTGTGTACTCCGAGACCGAGTTCCCACGCAAATGCGGATTCTGCCGACATCGCTTCGAGACGAGACAAGAACGAATAGATCATATCGCGGATCACTTCAAGCAAGGCAAATGTATGCTTGACTGGCGCGACGAGGAAGACAACGACAGCCTCGATTCCGCAGACGACGACAATGACGACGGGCCAGGTGATGGCGGCTTCGGTGGCAAGCCTTCGCCTCGACCGCCTTTCCATCCACAGGGTGACGGTGGTTCCAAACACACTGGCTCGGGTAGCGGCGGCGGTTCTGCAGGCCAGTCATCCAACGGCGGATTCTTCCAATTCCAGCTCTCACAACTCGGTGAGAGCCAGTTGTATTGTGTGGACCAACTTATCAAACCCACTACACTTTCGCCGAACATCTCTCAGTCATCGATCTCACCTGAAACGACCGATCAGCAACTACTGCAAAACAGCCACGTTGCTACAGAGGAAGACCACAAGAATGCTCTGGCCAGCGATGTGCTCTCCCAGTCCGTGAGGAGTGTACTCCTCAACTCATCCTCAGGCAGTCGAACGGATGCTCGACTATCAGAACACCCTCATTGGAAGTATTCCAGGGCTGATGTAGCCGCCGCTGCTCCAGGGTCATCTGCCGCACCTCTCTCCAGCCCAGAGTATCCAGATATCCAGCCTTCCGACGCATCATTGGATACGAAGTCAACCACATCCACTCAAGACAATACAGCCATGACACTATCCAGGACAGAACTACGTCCATCAACGACGTCATTCCTAAGTGTCAAGCTTCTGGGCTCCGGAGGCTTTAGTACAGTCGATGAAGTCGTGCATCTGCAAACGGGACTCCACGTCGGTCGCAAGACACTCAAGAACCGTGACCAGACCGCAATTGCGGAACTCAAGAAGGAAGTCAGCGTTCTTCAGAAGCTTCGCCACCCTCACATAATTCGATTCCTTGGGGCCTACTCTAGAGGCGACAAGATGTCGATCCTCCTCTCACCCGTTGCAGAGACAACACTTGCAGGATGGCTGCAGCGAACAGCGCTACAGAAGCCCGCCAACCTGCCAGAGACTATTACCAAGATGTTTGGCTGTCTTGCCTCGTCAGTGAGGTATCTCCACGAGCAGCGACCTGTTGTCAAGCACATGGACATCAAGCCTCAGAACATCTTGATCGTTGAAGGCGATCAGGAATTCCCACACGTGGTACTCAGCGACTTTGGTGTTAGCTCCGCAGAAGAAGTGGGCGACGACCAGCGCAAGCCGCTAACACGTCAATACATCGCCCCTGAAGTCTTTGAGGGCTTTACTCGCAAGCAGGCAGCTGACATTTGGAGTCTTGGTTGTGTCTTCGCCGAAATGGCGTCTGTATCATTCAGCCAAGGCAACACGGGATGGTTAGCTTTCCGCAAGACATTCAGCGGTCGTACTGGCAAGCACTACTGGCAGGACGTTTCCGGTATACAAGACAAGCTTGCCGCATTCCTGGCTGAAGCAAATACTACGACGGAGCAGACCGTTGTGCGTACGCTTCAGACCATGTTGAGTGCCGATCCAGATGAGCGGCCGGACGCACGATCATTGACCATGATCTTTACTCCCGCACCATGCTGTCTCAACTGGCCGAACGACAAGGCGACATACCCTGGTCCACAAGAGGAACTCGGTGGAGTAGAGACGCTTGCTCACCATGGCAGCGACGAAATCTGCTGCCATTCCCCCGCTCACGGCAAGAACAGCACCGAGTCAGAGCCTAGCCTTTCGAATGCGAAGAGCTGGCTAGACGAGTGTACACACACTCACGAAGCTTGTCACCATACAGCAAAGCGCGACACCAGCAACCTACCCACACGTCTGATCGAGATTCTCCCGGGAAATCCGGGTCATGCAATTCGCGCGAGAATTGTTCAGACCGACAGTCTGAAGTCGACTACTGAATATGTCGCTTTGAGTTACGTTTGGGGCGATAACCAGCCAGTACTCTCCAGCAACACGCTATTGAGCATGCGAAGTGAGCTGCCTCTAGGAACACTCCCGATGACCGTCGCGAATGCGATTGCGACAGCACACCGCCTGGGCCACAACTATTGCTGGCTAGATTCACTATGTGTGCTACAAGATTCGGAAGAAGATAAGCAACAAGAGTGCACGAGGATGGCGTCCACCTTCCGTAACGCAGCACTGACAGTCGTACTTGACCAGTTGACCGGCGAAGCGGTCATGTCGGGCATACCTGAAAAGAACTACCCAGCGTCTTTACTTGGATCAACGCCCAGTCAGGGCCCAACTCCAGGTCGTCAGCCGGCTTCTGCCTTGCTGCCAGCTGGCATCCTGACTACACCCAACTTCGGCTGGGACACACGTGCATGGGCGCTACAAGACCGCCTGCTCAGTCGACGCTTCCTCCACTTGGGTGAACAGTTGTACTGGGAGTGCAACACGCTCAAGGCCTCAGAAACATTCCCTCGCGGTCTCTCAGCACTAGTCTGGG